CTCTCATAAAGAAAAAAATGCCATCACCTTTTGTATATACTTTCCCTCCTTTTAAATCCAACAGATCATCACCTTTTTCTCACCTCAAAGTGTATCACCTTCTTCATTAAGAAAAATAATAGCAATAATGCAATAAAAATGTTATTAATTAAAAACCATATCAATTCTCCACATTGGAGTTCATATACATTCATTCTAGTTAGCTCATCATTTTTTTTTCTTCACATTCATGATGTATAGAAAAAAGAAAAAGTTCACCATTTTCCCATCATTGCAAGTGTGTTTATTGTTATTAATTCAGATTAATCAAATCAAAACCATATAAAAGTACATGATATGATATGCACACATAAATAGCAAAAAATTATAAAAACCCCAAGAATTTCAAGACATAGACAAGTGAATTAATACTTAAAATTCAAAACTGAAATGAAAAACAAAGATGATCATATATAAGTATTACAACGCGATGAATCTTGACCGTTCATCTTGACCTGATCAGCCGGTATAGATGTGGACATGCACGGCCAGGATGAAAACAGCGTATAAAGCGAAGAAAATAAGCGTGTGGACAGTTATGGCTTTGCCGTTTGTCTTCATGCTGCCGAACTCCACCTGCCGGTTGTTCCCTGGGAACTGAAAAACGAGTCCCGGCTGGAGGAGTACGAAGAGTACAACTCCTATAAGCACAGGGCCCCAATCAGCCATTGCAGGTGCACAGAGGAGCTTGATGGACCAAGCTAGAAGAAAGAAAAACTGAAATATTGATTAAGATATTGACAATGAAAAAAAAAAAAAAAAAAAACTCTAAGTAGGGGAAACAAAAAATAAAGCTAAAGAAAAACCACCTTTTTTTTTCATGTATGGAGAGGAAAAGAGAAGTGAAGAATTACTTTTGGTCCTTGCTGATAAGGATGCTGAGAATTTGGAATCCTTTTGCTTTTTTTTATCACAAATGAGTGCACACTAATGTAAATGTAAAAAATTGATCTTTCTAGAAGAGACAGACTTATAGGTTCTATTGACACAAATATTTTGACAACTTTTACATACTCTAAAATTCAATTATTAGTAAAGTTGTTGGTGGCTGGGTAGTTTTTCGACAGATATGTATACTTGCAAACTGAAACGTTTAAAAAATTAACATAAACAAAATTATGACGTTTTCATATCATAAACGTGCACTTTTGTTAAAAAGTATGACGAGTTGGCCTGTTTTAGAGGTTAGGTTGTACATGAATTTGTGCTCAATTTCAAAGTATTTATGTCCCATTAATTTTGTCAAGGTCATTTCTTTTATCATTCTTCTTGAATATTATGAGTTAATTACTCTTTTTGAGAGAGATGAAATAAAGATGCAAAACCTATCATATGTATCCAGAAGCCAAATCATTTAGTGCAAAATAGCTAAATTTTTTCAAGTGTTCATTGTTCCATCATAAACTCCATCATCCTAAACTATACAGATCATTTTATTTGTAGCATAACCTTCCAATCAATAGCTAAACTTGCAGGAATTTATTTGAAAGTAAATTATTCCTCCAAACATTATTTCAACTTTTTTATAAGATTCTCACCATTTTATATATTCTTCTTTCATCTTCTTAAATCACTCACTTGCAGCAAAACTAACTACCTCAAACAATAAAAAAAAAGTAACAAAAAAATTAAAGGAAAAAAATTATAGGAATGAATGATTATGCTCCTGTGATGATAGCCACAGCCCTTTTTGCATTTCTATGCCCTGGATTGGTTCTTCAGCTCCCCGGAAAACATGGGCCGATCGATTTTCTCAACATGAAGACAAGTTTTCCGGCCATGGTAATCCACACCGTTGTTTACGGTTTGCTTCTTGTTATGTTCTTAGTTGTGCTTGATATACATATCATTGCCTGAGTACAAACTGTGAGATTTTTTATTCATAAGTTTGGCCTTGCTGTTTTTGTATGTGTAATAAGAATAAACTCTTGTCTGTACTTTGTCTTTGTTTAATATGTTTGTGTTGGTCTTGTCCTGAACTAATTTAATAAAAAAAGCATATGTGTTATGTTCTTTACTTCACATTTGTAGTACATATATATATCTTTATTATCCTGTAGAGTAATTATATATGGACCCAGAGATAGAAAGTAAAATTCATAAGATGATAAGAACAATATAAGCCATGAAAACTGCATT